AAAGAACCAAGCACTACATCAAACAGTTAGCCTGCATTATGTTATCCTAATAACTGGTTCATAAAATTCCAATACTAAGTTACACGAAAACCCACAGAGAAAGGAAAACAGAGTAAAGGTTAGACAGTGTTCAAGATTTTACATGAAACTATAGAATGAAACCTAATTGTCACTTACCAACAAAATGAAATTAGGCAAATGAACATGAAATTTTGAGAAATCACTTGTGATTCTGATTGTAATACGAATTTTCACTTGAAATAAACGGAAATTTAAACAGAGATAACAGAGAAACCTAGATCAGTGTAAGAATAGGAGGTGAAGATGGTGATGGTACTTTGGCAAGCGACGGAGCGATGGAGATAAGATGCATGAAAAAAAACTAATGCATCAATACTATTATGCTCTAATTTTTTGCGATTGATAATAACATGTATTAGTTGCCGATTCGTATGAGGGTTGGAACCAAAAACCCTAACTATCGATTTTAAATTTGGATATGATAAGATTCCTAATTTCTTGCAATAGATATCAAATTCCTTTGCTGATTTTTTGGATACCAAATAACGAATATTCAATTTTATTCAAATTCAAAAAATACAAAAAATAGCTTAAAAAATGACACGTGGCGAAATGCCTCTAAATCTGACACGTGGCAAAGATAACTACTCTTTTATTAGGTAAGGTAGATGTGCAATTAACTTAAGGGGATAATAATACAAAACTCATTAATTATCACTTTTCTTCAATTTAGAAACTTTATTACTTTTTGTTTTAAATTGAATATTATATTTTTTTAATTTCTTTGACCATTTCATCGGGACATCGATTACCCGGTTGTCATGTTGAGTTGCAGTATGATGTTGGCGTAGCATGGCCACATGACATGAAAGCCACAATATTATAAAAAAAATCGATTTGTGACTCATTTTTTTTTTCAAATCAAGCATTTTCATCACAAAAACTCTTTTACATTATTCAGTTTGTTAATTCGGTAACACTGCTGATTTGTGTGTTTCAAATCATACATATTCATCCCAAAGATGGTCTATTTATTAGGTTATATAGAGTTCTTCAGGTGTAAAGCTCTCCAACTTGGACATGGTATCTTATTGCCTTTGTGACCCCTTTAATGTAGCGTTGATCCTATCGAAATCTTTGTTAATTGATAGCTTATTTTATTTCCTTATTTTTATTAGTTTATTTTAGATTTTTAGCTCTTTTTATTAGTATTGCATTGTATATTCTTTATTTTCTTTATCATTGATCGTATCGGGAACTTTTTATTTTGCATGAGAAATTTTGCAGGGTTTTGGAGCTCATTGCGGGTGTGGTTTGACTGGATTTAGGCTTAGTGGGCTTTCTGATGCATTATTGGGCTTGGCGGATCCACCAAAGAAGATTGGGCTTAAAAAGCTAAAGGCTTGGATGAAGTGGGCTTGTGAAGATGGATCTTGGACTTTTATTTTGGGCTTGGAGCATCCATTTTTTAAGCTAAAAGATGATTGGTTAATTTGAATCATGTGGGATATGGAGGGGACCAAGGGAATCTTTGGTAGTGGGATGGTTAATGGAGGAAAAATGAGCCAATAGTATTCCAGCAATATTTGCGCGGGTGGAATTTTCGTCGCGTGGGTACCCGCGCAACTGCCCAGTTTTGGGCATTTTGGTCATTTGGCTTGCCATTACCTTGGGGGATTGGATCTATCAGCTATCACTTCGATTTTACACCATTGGAGACCAGAAGAAGGCGATTTTGGAGCTTGAGACTCATTTCTTTTCATCTTTTCAAGTTATTGGTAGTTTCTTTATGCAATTAGACTCTTGTGATTGTTATTCTATTGCCATGAGTGGCTAAACTCTCTATTTTGGTTAGCCTTGGCTAAAACCTTTGAATGTTTATGGATTTTTGAAGGATTCATGTTTATTTATCATTTATCTTATGTTTATGGTTCTAGTTCATATTTCTTATGCTTGTTTAATACTTTGATCATGAGCTTGGTACTTGAATGAGCAATTGTTGGTTTATTTCTTTGGTTTAGCATTGAATCATTGAATTTACTTAGAACAAGAGCTTTATGATGGTAGAAATAATCTCTAGCTTATGAATCATAGCTCCTTTATGGATGTGTAAGCATTGACATCCTTTAGGAATTGGGGATTCCTTCATTCTTAAGGCTAATCAACTTCTTGGGTTCAATTGCTTCAGTTGGATCTTTGATTTTGATTAAGAAGGTGTGTTGTGGGCTTCCCCAACCTCCATACTACCTATGAGGAATCTTGGCATATCATGCTTCATGATTGCTATAACCAATTTGGGATGAATGATAAGCTTCATGTTGAATCCTAATGATAAACACACAAATGTTCATTGTGTTGAATTGCCTTGGTTAACCAATTCTCACCAATATTTGAGCATCTCACCATCTTGCTTAATTGCAAGCTTTTTTTTAGTTATTCAAGTCTTTTAGTTTTCAAGCAATCACAACACCCCCCCCCCTTCTAGTTTAATTGTAGTTAGTTAGTTTATTTACACTAGTTCTATTGGATTGGATTGGTGATTAAATACAACCATTTCCCCGAGGATCGATACCCCTTTTTACCATTATATTACGTTTTATTTGCAAACAAATAGTGTAATTTGCTTGGTGGACTTGACATCCCACCATTAATACAACGAAGGAAGTGTTCTGAAGGGTTTCTTCAACTTGGACATGGTATCCCGACGTTTGTAAAGAACTAAAATCCCAACATGAAGTAAAACAATAACTTGGTAAAGATAATATTAAAACAAATGCACTTAATATACCTCTACAACCAATTTGGCTTCACCAATTAAGATGATTTTAGGATAAACATGTTTGATTTGAAATACTCGAATCATCTTTGTCATTGAATTAACAAATTGAATAGAAGAAAATGATCTTTGGGATAAAGATGTTTAATTTGAAATACACGACAACCCTGTCACGGAAGTTTCATTTCTAAAAAAGAAGATATATTTTACGAAACTTTTTGAATAATCATATATTGATTATATTCCAACGGTATATGAATTTCTTTTATTAAAAAAATAAGATTTTTGTGATTGTACTAGTAATTTGTTCGCATTACAAAACATGTGATGTTTTCATTAAAAATAAGGGATAATGACTTAAAAGGATAACATATTTTTAGGTTTGTACACATTTAGTCATTGACTTTTTTTGTCCAAATTTTCCCATTGAACTTGTTAAACTGTTCAAAAAACATCCTTATGACCTACTATCGGAGGTTTAGCCGGTTTCCGGCGTTCTTGTGAGCTCCGATGAGACTCTGGTCATCTTTTCCGGTGAGTCTCCGACCAAAAAAACACATACATAAACAAAAAACACCTAGATTCATGTGTTTTCCTCAAGAAATTCTTCAACCCCTTCAACCCAAATTGAACATCTTCAAGAACAACTAGATCTGAAAAATTAGTTCATCAAAAATGTTTTCAGATTTGCGTGTGAGTGTGTGTGTTTGTTAGATCTGAAGAAAAATTCTCCAACCCTTCAATCGGTGTGTATGTGTGGGTTTTTTAGATCAAAAAACACATACACAATCATGTTCATCCCTTCAAACCCTTCGACCCAAAAATCATAAACTCATAAATCCTTCAACCACTTCAACCCAAATTTGACCATCTTCAAGAACAAATAGATCAGAAAAAACGAGTTCATCGATGTGTGAGTTCATACTTCCTAGAAATCAAAAGATCTTCAACCGAAGTTGTGCTTTTGAGTTAGAGTTTGAAATCAAGTTTCCATTTTTGTTCAAGAAAACACTGAACTCGAATCTAGAAGTGTTCATGTGAAAAGTTTGAAGCTCGAAAATCATGTTTCCATTTTTGTTCAAGAACACACTGAACTCGAATCTGAAATCAAGTTCATATAAGAAATCGAGAATCATGAGTGTTTGTATGTTCTTGAACAGATGAAGATGACTTTTGAGTTTGTGTTCGTGTTCTTCATCATATTTGTGTTCTTGTTCTTCATCAGATCTAAAAACCAGCATAAATCTTTTTTGTTTGTGTTCTTGAAGGTCTGATGAGCTTTAAGATGAACTCGAGTTAGGTTTTTCAAACCCAAAAGTCATCGGAGTGTTGTTCCAGATCTTTTGTTCATCGTGTTCATCTTCTTTGTTCTTGGAAGTCAACAAAGTACAAACAATGCAGCACAATGTACAAGTTCATCAATGCATTATCCTTTGAACCAGCTCACATAAAATCGATTTCTTCTATGTGCTTGGAAATTGTTTCTGGAAAGAAGAAGATGATCGAACATCAGATTTGGGAAGAAGATAAAGACGATGAAGATCTACAAACCTTGAAGATCATTGTGTATGTGTTCATCTGATACTTCTTCTATTCAAACTCAAGAACATATATCATTATTTCTCTCTCTAAAAATGATATTTAAGTGTAAGTTGTTTGATCTTCAAGCTAAATCACGATATGAAGACACCGAAGCTCATGTTCTTGAGTTCGTGTTCTTCATTAACTTCGATTTTCCATTTCTGTTCAAGAACACAACTTTGATTTCTGGGTTTTTCTTCATGTTCTTCATCAGATTTTTCGATTTATGTTATTGAGTTCATGTTTGGTTTAGATTTCTGGTTTGGAAATGAAGTATTGTGTGTGTTGTTGATCAAAAAATAAAAAATTAAATTATTTTATATTTATGGTTGGAGACTCACCGGAGAAGACGACCAGAGTGTCGCCGGAGGTGACAAATATGTCGGAAACCGGCTTAACCTCCGATAACAAGTCATAAGGATGTTATTTGAACAGTTGAACAAGTTCAATGATAAAATGTGGACAAAAAAAAACATCACCGACTAAATGTGTACAAACTGAAAAATATATTACCCTTTTAAGTCATTATCCCTAAAAATAACTTGTTCAAAAACTTCTAACCCATTTTAGTTATGTTTATGAAATTTATATTTTATAGGTTGTTGTTTGCGTAAAGAAGCGTTTTACAGGAATTGAAATTGCCACAAACCATAAAAACAGGAGGAACACATCCAGTGAAGAGATAGTGTGAAAATGAAATCTCTTGCTCCCTCTCCCTTTTCTTCTTCATCTTTCATGTTTGCATCTTCATCACTCGAAATCAAACTTCTGCTCTCAAATCCAAACAATAGGAGACTCCAATTCAATCTCAATCTCACTCCTACGAACCTCAAACCAGACACAATTTCCTGTAAAGCAACACAAAATGAGATCGATGAAACCCCACCAAGCAAGAGTCGTCAAAGCTCAACAACACACAAAGTGGAGGATTACAACACTGCCATGAAGAGTATGATGAGAAACCCTTATGAGTATCACCATGATCTTGGTCAGTATCTCTCTTGTATCTTTTTTTTATTTGGATTCGAATGAATAGTTATGTTACCGATGAATATTTACATGGGTTTGGACGAATTCATGTAATGGTTTGTGGGTTTTATTGAATCCCTCTTGTGATCTTGGACTTACTTCTTTAATCTGGCTAAACTAATTTGTTTCAATTTGATTGATATCTGTGATGAATACTTCAATTACTGTAGTGACTATTAACGATTGACAAATTTAAATTCTTCTACTTTCGGAGATTGTTTATTTCATGTGTCTAGGGTCTCAAATCAATTGATAAGGTATTCTTTGTGTTATTATTTTGGGTTTTTTTTATATGTGTTTGCCTTTTGGAAGTCTTTAACATAAACCTACGAATCTACGATATGCATTTTACCTTTATTCCTTTGACTACCAAAAGTCAAGGTCAATTACAAAAATATGAAAAAGAAGGATACATAAATGTAAATTGTAAAGTACCTATAAAAAGCTTCACTTTTATGGTGTAAAAAAGAAAGATTAAAAAAAGGTTATATCTTTGATTCTTGATAGTATTTATAACAATATTTGACGTGCCTTTTCAGGCATGAATTATAATCTGATAACGGAAAATCTTATCGTTGGATCTCAACCTCAAAAAGCTGAAGATATCGACCACCTTAAAAACGAACAAAATGTGGCATACATTCTTAACTTACAGCAGGACAGCGATATTGCTTATTGGGGAATAGATTTGGAGTCAATAGTCAAAAGATGTAAACAACTTGGAATACGCCATATGAGAAGACCCGTAAGCACAACAACTTATCTAATCTCCAACAAATCAAATCACAAGAATTTAACAAATGCTGTTTCTTTTTTCCCCATTAAGTGTTGTGTTTTCTTAAAGTGCAGGCAAGAGATTTTGATCCGGATTCTTTAAGGAGCATGTTACCAAAAGCTGTTTCTTCAATAGAATGGGCCGTTTCTGAAGGAAAAGGAAAGGTGTATGTACATTGCACAGCTGGTTTAGGTCGGGCTCCTGCTGTTTCCATTGCTTACATGTTCTGGTTCCTTGACATGGATGTAAGTTAACCTTTTTTCTCATCATAAAAGAACAGGTTGTACTGCATTGGACTGTGACTCAGACAGACCGATGTCAATGCAATTTTACATTTTTATATTGATTGGATTTGTGTTTGCGTGTAGTTGAATACAGCATATGACAAGCTTACTACAATAAGACCATGTGGACCGAATAAAAAGGCGATACGAGGTGCTACTTATGATTTGGCTAAAAATGATCCTGGGAAAGAGCCTTTTGAGAATCTTCCGGAAGATGCGTTTGGGAATGTGGCGGAGTGGGAGAGGAAACTGATTCAGAATCGTGTTCGTGATCTACGTGGAACTTGAACAAAATGATAGTAAGAAAGAAAAAAGGTTAGTTTATGTCACTAATAAATGTTGTAATTTTGTTGTTCTAACTTTGAGAATTGTCATGATGGTGTTTAATAAACTGACATTTTCTATTAAACCGTTCTTTAAGTAAAAAAGAACACTCATGTTGTTTTTTTTTTTTTCTATGAAGTGTTATCTATATAAAGTTGTGTTTGGATAAATAATATTTGAAGAAACAACATTTAAGTTCTGTTCTTATAAAGCCTGTTAAGTGAAAAGTAAACATTTACCCAATTTGGGAACACCATTTCTTCCATATTTTGATATTATCAACATAAACTAGTTATTACACAAACTAAGTTTATACAACATAAACCATGCCAACTTCCAACAAAGATGCCGGAGGCACTTTCAACACGACATCCGGTCCCCGACAATTCCTTCTTAAGAAATTATACCCGAAATTAATCGCTAATCTTTTAAAAACAGACGACCCTTGTTTTGCTTTCACATGCGAGTGCCCGAGAATAAACGCGGTCCCACTTTGTTGAGCCGCCAACAAATCTTCAAGCTCACGCCTCATTTGCACATCCGGTGAGCTCGAATTTTCCGACTCATCATTATCATCAACCGTGAATCGCACCCGTCTCTCTTTTGGTGAACTCATCTCAATTATATCCCCTATGCTCTCAACCGTTTGGAACCCTAGTGACACACTTTCTTGTTGCATGTTTTCATCCACATCAAAGTTTCCAATCACCGCCAGTCGGTGCTCGCCAGAGGACCGATCGGAAGCCCCCGCGTGATCACCGGCACTGCTCGCCCGCGGGCGGCACCAATCATAATGGATGAAATCGGCTAACCGTTTAACAAGATCAGACTCGAACGAATCCACATCTTGATGCACATCGCGGTACCCGTACCGCACGATGCACCGATAAGCTCGAAGGGACGCGGGACCCACACGGCCCAATAGGTACCTTTCGGCCGGAGGGACGAACGGGACGGGTACCGATTTCACGCACACGAACACTAGAATACGGTGGAACGCTGGAAGGTTTGTGACAAACCGCGAAAAGTTTGCAGGGATCCCCGAGGTTAAATCGGTGAACACGAGCCCGATCCCGGGTACACGACACATGCCTAAAGTGGGACCCAAGGCTAGGAGCCATTCTAACGAGACCTTATTGTGAAGGTCGTATTCGTATTTTTTAACACTCGCGTAATGCCATACGAACATTATGGTGACTAGGAAGAGGGCGAGTAGGATTGGTAGCCATGCACCTTCACGGAATTTGACTAGGGAAGCCGAGAAGTAGAGTAACTCAATTGAACCGAAGAATAATAGGAAAAATAACGCGACAATTGGCGGTTTGTGCCAACATAAAATGATTACTAATGATGTGAGGCACGTTGTCACAAGCATCACCGCCATTACCGCCAATCCTTCAATCACATCAAAAACAAACATTCAGATAAAAGAGATTATACTGTGTTTGATATTGACTTTGATATTGACTGATGATATGACATGACATGACATAACATGGTGTACCAGATGCATTTCCCATGTGTTTGATATCACGAAAACCGATGGTGACAGCGATACATAGGATCATGAGTATCCAATTGATCTCCGGTATGTAGATTTGACCATGAATTTTATCGGACGTATGCACGACTTTGACTCTTGGAAAGCAACCGAGTGATTGGCTTTGGTTGATGATTGAGAATGTCCCGCTGATGATCGCTTGGCTTCCCACAACAGAAGCAAGAATCGCAATTGCAAGCACCGGCCACCTCAAACTTTCTGAAATCAAATGGGATCACGTAAAACCACTTGCTAATTTACGATTTTGCCCTTTAATCAACAAACAAAATTGAAAATACCTGGCACCGAAACGTAATAGCTGATGTTATCGTTCATCTCGTGATGCTTTGATAAGTAAGCCGCTTGACCCATGTAACCAAGTATGAGCGCAGGGTAAACCAGAAAAGTGAACGCGATCTGCAAGGGCAAAATGGGAAAAATACAAAATACCCGTAAATATCAAACACGTATATCAAAATATAGATAACCTTTGTAACAGTCTAAATCTACCTGAATTGCAGCATAAGAGAAATGACCAAGGTCGGCAAACATAGCTTCTGAGCCTACATTGATTCAATTTTGACTTTTGGGGTCATCAAAAAAGTTTCAATCAATTTTAAAGGTAAAACATGTAATAAAGACAGTAAGATTTGACACCAAATGGTGAAAAAGACTTGTACTTTTTTTTTACCTGTTATGCATAGTAAAATCCCTCCTAAAGACATCCAGCCTTGTTTTTTGGTCTTCCTGAAGAACTTTAACATGTAATAAGGTGAAAGAGCTTGATAGACTTTTGGATTCCAATGAATGATATTGTATACTCCAAGGGCACTTATGCAAATAAGCCATAATAACACAATGGGCGCGAAAAAGAACCCAACTCGATGTGTCCCGTAGTGTTGTAGTGCAAACAGACACACTAATATGAAGCAAGTAATGGGTATTACTGCATCTGCAAATAACAAAACAATATTTTATTTTTAATTCTTATAAGAAAACATTTCGAGCATAAAAAACAAACAGTTTTTTCCATCCAATTAAAATTTACAACGCTTTTAGAAAGAAAGAACATGTATAAGTTTAAAGAAGGGACCATGAGACCATGGTTTTAACAAAATGAAGGGTCCCCCATCCTACAATCATGCAAAATGATGAAAAAAGCTGCATTTATAATAAAGTTGGGTGTGGAGATGTCTGTTTTGAAAATATTGAATTTATCTCAATAATCAGTTTTTTTTTTGTAAATTTTTTTTACTCGGCTTCTTCATATTTTAACATTAAATAATCTGACAATCAGAAATTCAGAATAATAATAACTTGTACTCAAACACTCAAAAAAATTAATTATTAACGTACATACAAACTGAAAATGAAACTGAAACACCCCCTAAAAGACGGAAAGCTTTAAACTCACATTGATGGTGATCTTTGGACATAGATAACTCAAGCCCAGAAACTGCAGAAAAAACTGCAAAACAAACAAATATACAGTACGATAGTTGTTAATAAACTTAAAAGCGAGGGGTCGAAATGTAAATTAGACAAGATTTTATATTTACCAGATATCGCCGGAGTAAGGAGTCCATCTCCGATCACCATACAGGTGCCAAGAAGAACCAAAATTAGCAAAGCAGTATGCAAAAACTTGTATTTTTCAAGCAACATTTTCACTTTTGTGTTGTTTTTTCTCTCGGGAGTTTGCTCAAGTTTATATGTAGATAACGATTCATCAGCCACTTGTCGGTTTGGTAACAGGCTCACTTTAGCATTCCGGCAAATCGACGAATAAAGAGCAAAAGTACCACCTAAAAGATCAATCGATTAGAAAATTTAACTTTTAATTTGATTTTAATTGGGTTGAAATCAAATCAAATAATGAGAAATTATATGAAGTTTACCTTCGCCATTATCATCAGCTCGGAGGACTATGAACACGTATTTGAAAAGAGGGACAAGGGTTAATGTCCAGAAAACAAAAGAAAGAACCCCAAAAATCTCTTCGTTTGTTTCAGAGTGATGAATGTCTTCTGCAAATGTACTTTTGTAAACGTAAAGTGGAGAAATGCTGAGGTCACCATAGACGACACCAAGACTTTGATAAGCTAACAGCAAAGTTGTCCTCCATGAATCCTTCTAAACAAATTTAAACAAAAACATTTTATATATATATATAGAAAGAAATTGAAAACCGGAAAAAGATTTCTTCAATGTTCTTGATTGATACCTTGGAATTGGCCCAACAATTTCCATATTCAAGATCCATGCTTCACAATTGCAAAGATTCCAGCTGAAAGAAAAACAAGAAACTTGGACTTCTACTTCACAGTTGTATTTTGAGAATGAAGAAAGAGTGACCCACTTGCTAAAAGAACTCTAATGGTGCCCCATACTCATTGAAAGTGAAAAGGCGAATGATATGAAGCAAAAGACACCATGTTTATGCAGAATAGATGATAAGTATCGATGGAATTGAAAAAGATAAAGACTTGAGAACTTTTTCATAACCCAAGAAGATATTCTTTTTTCTTGTGAGAAATGGAATGGAACCCATACCTCACTCAATCCCAATGTGCACCTACTTTTAGCAACAAAACTTTACCAGAACAGTAAATTTAAATAAATGAAATTTAACCCCTAATTAATCAAGTGTGATTTATAAATGAGAATACCATGTAGAGGCAGGAAAGTAACATGAGTTTAAAAAGTTTAGAGAATAAATTAGGAAAGAGAGGACAATCACATGACTCAACGACAATTGCATTATGATATCATCTAATCAGTCACAGAAAAATCGAGCCCACAAGATTCAAAACTTTTAAGGACCACTTTACCCTCTCTATCACTCACTTAGGCATGCTCATAATTCATGATAGATACCAAACTCCCACCAACCTATCTAAACACACAATCAAGATTTCAATGGACTTGTCAAGAATTAGGCAGGATGTTCTTTCAAAAATTCCACATTTAAGTAAACCAAATCATGCTAAAATGAAATCCAACACTTCATATGATCAAGTAATTACCTGAAACTGATAATCTTTATTAGGCTTAATCAAATCAAGATTTGAAAAAGTAACCCATTTTTCCAATATAAAGAATGAGATTCTTGGGTGGGGTGGGGTGGGAGTTATGGTTTATGGGAGAAGGAAGCAAGAGCACGTGACTACAACATGGACCCCTTTATGAAATCGTGACTTAATTTTCGCCAAATATCTCCTTTATTTTCTCTCCTAACCCTTGCTTGTTTGTTTGGTACTCACGGCTTCAACGTTTAAGTTTTTAAGGTTTCATCTTTTTTTTTTTTTTTTTTTTTTCAAGAACCCCCCAAAAATGTGTGAAAATGAGAGTGGGGGTCACCTACCTGTCGTGTTCTCAGTCATTATCGAGATTTGAGGCTGTATGTAAAGCAATATATTGAATCCAAATGAGTACAATCAATCATAACAAACACATAAAAAGCACCAGTCTTTATCTATGATAACATGAGATGAACGTCTAGTTTACAGAAAAGAGAACACATGAACCTGATACCTAAATCCCATTTTCAGCCATTAATGAACTCAAAAAGCTCCATAGTCCCTCCAGCTCCAAATTCATTCAATTAACAGCCAAGTCGGTTACTTTCTCTTGATTTACAAACAGCGTCTATCTGGAAACTGGAGATGGGTTCGCCATTATAGATCTTGAGAGAAAAAAATAAAGAAAAATGGTGTGTGGGCAAGAGGAAAGGGGAATATTATTAAAGTCGGATGCTGGTGTATGACTGTATCTGCAATCTGCATAAAGAAATAGATGGGCGGGAATATTGAAGGAACGATTTTAGGTGAAGTGAATATAAATATATGATACGAGTGAAAGTGAAGTGGTTGTGAAGGCATTAGAGGATTTGAATAAGGATTGAAGTTTGTTTGAATATTGTGTATTCAAATGGGGAATATTTTAGTGTCGGGTCGAATGTCGAGTATAGCATTGTCTTTATTCAGATGGGTGGATGTAGACGATGGTTCACGATCCGTATATAATTTTTTTATCGGATAAATATAAATGATAAATTAATATTTAACCCAAAGCGTATAACTTTAATTCTTTAAATACTAGAAGACATTTTATGTGATTTAATTCTATAAAAAACGATATTAGTTGTTATTTTGCTGAAATATGAAAAAAAAAATGTTCATTCAATTTGTTGAAATTAGTTGTTATTGTTGTTGGAAATCTCATTTTTAACTGAAATTAGATGTATATATTTGTTGAAAATCACATTTTATCTGAAGTTAGTTGTTATTGTTGCTGTAAATTGTATTTATTAACTAAAATTCTAGTATATATTTGATGGAAATCACATTTTAACTGAAATTATTTGTTATTCTTGCTGGAATAGTATTCATATATGATGCTTTAATCCTTATAATTCATATATTTTGTAATTCATTGGAATTATAGCCTTGAAGCATTAGGCTAAAGATTTCCTTGAACTGAGTTCTTAATTGATTTGCAGTGAAGAATAGCATTGGCAAAAGGAAGGCTCACATTCTATAAACATAAGCGATTGATGGATGCATGAAATCTATTTGATGAAATGCTTGAGAGCGCTGTGGTTGAAGCTGGTTACATTAAATATGATTCATGTATAGAGATGGCTATAAGTTAAAAATATTTGTCTATGAATCAACTTTGTGTATGTTGGTGTGATGAATGACTCCACTTACCATACCACGTTTGGAATACATATCAAATGAGTTATTTGATTTTTTTGTATAATATGTGAAATTAGAAGGCGAATGTGATAAATGATTCATGAACCATTTAGAATTGTTTTTAGTTGTTGTACAAATATGGTTTGATCTATTTATCAACCATTCTGTTATTATGTTATATATTATTGTTTAGTTAATATAACTAATAATGTATATTAGTTGCCTTTTGTTTGCTAAAAGAATTGCAACTTTGATTTTTGTGATATCAAAAAGATTTTAAGAGGTTTGATATACATTTCAATGTTGTACGATTTGAAAATAAAAGATTTTAGATGTTGATTTATATTTCAATGTTGTATGATTTATATTTTAATGTTATAAATATAAAATTATTTAAATTTTCATGTTGAAAAACTTTTTAAGTTTAAAAAATTGATTTAATAAAATTCCAATTGATTTTACCAGCCTACAAACGTTAAAAAACAAAAAGTTTTCTACTTACAGACTGTAGACGTTTGATCCACCACTTCTACTGCAGATGTTTGCAGATATAGTCCACATATTGCAGGTCTTTTACCTCTGAAAAAACAAACAACACATTAGCTTCTCTCTTATATCCTCCCTTGCAGTTCTTTCCTTCCAAAAAACATAAGCCACAATCATTTAGGAAGAACACCGATTTGATATTCATTCTAATCCATTGGGTTTTGTGGTGCACTAAGGAAATATTCAAGAACGTCACGATCACGACTTCTTCATCATCTATTTCATCCAATCCCATGAAACTTGGACTCTGAAGTAACTATTTTTTCAATTTCAGTTGATTAAATGTTGTCATGTGATATTTGTGGTGCACTAAGGAAACATTCAAGAACGTAACGATCAACACTTCTTCATCATCTATTTCATCCACTCCCAGGGGGATGCCCATGTTACCTCATCTTGTTTGGTATCATGATATCCCTAATTAGGACTATTGTTCCTAGTGCTTACAATTCTTACATTTAAAGGTCATTTTTATAACTTCTCATAAGTTCTTTTAAATAAAAAATATTTGTTGTTGCTTTCAATTTTACTTGGCATATAAGATCGTTGTAGCTATATTTACAAAAGTGGGCGTGCTGTAGTTATATTTGTAACGTATGGATAAAGAAGAAATAAATTGTTTGAACTTTGAAGTTCAAATTGAAGATAAAAGATAAGTTTTACAAATCGCAAAAGACTTCCACTACTTATGGCATTGATATGACGGTTACACCGGTATATATGTTATTCTAGTTATTATTTAATTATGTAATTTTATGAGAATAGTCTATTAACTTTTTTGTGAAAACTATTAGCATAGATTTGAAACCAATTCCAAACTGTTGTATTTGTTCGAGTCTTTTTCTCTCTATATATAATTTTTTATAAATTTGGGCTCAAGTATTGGATCATAAATTGAGGCCTTCGTGCACTTCACCTCCGTCAAAATTAAAAGTGGGACATGGTTTTGAGTATGTAACTATTACTTTTAGCTATATTTATCATAAAAAAAATTATGCTTCTCCAACTCATATACATGAAAAGTTATTGTTTAGTTATGAAAATCATTACAATTATATTATACCTAATTAACTAGTCATTTGTGTCAGCGTGACATTTATAAAATTAAAATTCGACTAAAAGTTAGAGTATATTACAAAAAAATTGTCTTTATTGTTATCTGAAAATTATGAACCAAACAGTTCTCTTTATGTTTCAACTTGAATCAATTTGTCTTTGATGCTACAAGTGCTCCTTTTTCATCCGCTAAAGCATATGATTTGGGAATAATGATGGGCTAATTTAGGCTTTTTCTTTGCATCTATTACATCATAATACATAATCCTTTATTATTGATACAATCCGTTTTTTCTTTGTCTTCGTCCTTGTAGTATTCTTTCTAAATACCTCCTAATTCCTTAGTTGTTTCTGCGACCATGATGATGTTGGCTGAAGCTTTTGGTTCTTTGATACTTTTGATTTTTGATCATTTGAATAGGCTCATTGGTACTAAAATTTCGAAGAAACGAATTTGTTCTTTGATTCTTGCAAAAACTAACACAAATTGATCGATCATTCCTCAAATTAAAACAAACAAGTGTTAATTAATTAAGCTTACTCCAACATTTTGTACTCATGCCCTGGGTTCCTTATCAGATCAATAGAATGTTTCTCAAGAACAACATGACACATCAATCCAAGTCTTCCATGAACCTTAAGCTTCGTAATATCAACACCTAATCAAAAATAGAATTTTAAACAAATTAAAAACAAAAGCATAAATTAAAAATCTATCAAAACTAACAAAGAACGTACCATTACTATGTATGATTTCTCTGAGAATATGCCAACCGCGAGTATAAAGAGGAACTTGCAATGGCCTAGATGGAAGTGGAACCGGAACAGGGTTTCTAAAATCATTCCTTCCATTAGTTGTATTTTCCCCAATAAGTTCAGCAGAAGCCATAGATGTAGCTGTTTGAAAACCTTCTTGATCATACACCTCATTTTCAAGGATTAATAGATCATCCAAAGTCGTAATTACTGTTTGGGTGTCAAACCGACAAATAAAGGGATATAATGATAACAATTAAACACAAATCACTACTACTATATACTATGAGTTAATATAGAGCAAGCAGAGTCCCGACTTAATGTTTAGCCATGTATTCACACATACACATAATCATTTGATAAAATGGGGGATGTTGTTTGTGAAAATTAATTTCAATAATAAACAACTTTAGAACTAAACAAGTTAAAAACTAGAATTCATGATTTAAAAGACATTTCCAATTCTGATTCCTTTTCGTGTACCACGTTGTAAGATGTAGTATAACTTCAATTCATGTTCAAACTAGGTTGGTAATCAATATATTAATAAGCTCTAATATCCAAGTTAACAAAAGTATTTTACTCAAAACATGATCTTTAAGTAAAATCTCATCTAGTTGATTCAACACAAACAAGCTCTTGAATTAAATCACTAGAAGACTTTGAGTTCATATAACAATTACCAACAATGTTCAATACTCTTCATATGCTCGGGAGTGTAAGAAAATCCAATCTTTGATTATACTAATTCTGATCTATTTGAAACCAATCAATTGTTTGTTACCAGCATCAAATCATAAAACATATATGAATTTTACAATTTGATTAACTAGAATAATAAGAACTCTAATTCCATTGATCAAGTGAAATTGAGTACAAATCTGTCACACCCCGAAACCGTGATGGCGGAATCGTTCCGGGGTGGAGGACGTCATGCGTAGTATCACAACAATTGTATCATAGCAAGCATAGTAAACACAACCAGACATTGAATACATATATGAAAAAGGTTTACATTGTTTAATACATAGTTTTAATCATATCAAAAGTAAAGTAGACAGACGCGACTCTAACGCTTCGTCTTCTCCGAACTCCTGGAAGTACCTGTTTACTAAATCCCTGAGAATACAAGCAGTTTTGAAAGAATATCAGCATAAAGTTGGTGAGTTCATAAGCATTTAGTTTTAGTGAGATAATGTTCTTTGAATCCATTTGAAAAGTGTTCTTCAAGAAAATCCTGTATTTTCTTATGAAAAGCGGTCTTGAAAGAGTGTCTATTAGTAGAAAATAAACCATCAGTTTTAGAAAACATGTTATCCGTCCTAGAGGTAGAGATGCCAGTTTAGAAGTCCTTGATTACTATCAGCATATATAAAAGTAGTTTTATTACTTAAAATAAAACAAATGAAGAATAGAGTCCGTAAACAAAGTTAGTTTATACTTATTTGCGAGTCGTATAACCATACTTGATATGACCGAGAGACCTTTATAACGTTCTTCAGGCGTTAAGCTAAATGACATTTGTTCACCACAGGCGTGCCCGCCTAACTGTAGCTATTAGTTCTGGTGTGGGATTGTCAGTCCCGAATAGATCTATTCACAAATCTCATGCTCTCCCTCCAGGAGACTCTGGTTATACTAAAAGGATTTATCACTATACACCTAAGGGTACAGTATTGAAGTAGCGCCTCACAATTCTGTATAATCTAGTTTACTAGCGAGAAATCAGTATAAAACAGTAATTATCCTTGAATAAATGTACTTTATACTTCTGAGAAAACATATAACATAAACTAAATCTGTCATAGTTTATATATATTCATTTATGAAATCTGATTAAGTAGAGACTGCCTAGAGGGTTATCCCAAACTATACCCATTATAGTTTATTAGAGTTGATATGGAAAATGCTTTGTAAAAACCTTTCTGAAAGCTATGAAGTTGGATTTCCCAAATAGAAGTTTCCCTTATGTTAAACATATTACAAAAAGAGATAAAATATCTGAATATGTTATTAAACGTGGAAATCGTTGGACTGCATTAATAAGTTTAAAACTTTAACAAAATACTTAGCATTTGGCTTGTATTCCCCCCCCCCTTCTGAAAACATTAAAAACACGGAAAATGTAGGGGTATGAACTCACCTCGGGTGATTTGAATGAAGGATCGATACGGAATGCGGGATGTTCAAGTGAAGCCTTGAACACGATTTGATCCTAATCAACAAGTAATGACACATAAAGGAGTCAAATGATGGTATTTGACCACTAGATGTGATGAAGAACCACTCTAAGAACTTGGGACTACTTGCACTAAGTGTTAGGACCTCAAAGGATTGCATGAGGGAGGTGTATGGCCACCTTAAAGGTGTGTACGGCAATGGGTGTGCGGCCGTACACTCATGATGGAAGGTGCCTTTGAGGTGTTTTCAAGGTCCATACTTGCATCCGTGAAGTGTCCTAGGCCCATACTTGGTTGTAGTACAAGTTTAGGGTCTTAGAAATGGGTTTGTGGTCCTATGGTGTGTGTGTATGGTCGCAC